TCAACATTAAATTCAAATTAGAATTTATAAGCTAAGATGATTAAACCCTAGATTAAGGAATCTAACCATTTAGTAAAAAGAGAAGAGGATAGGAAACAAAAGAACTTAGCCAATTTGAAGCTCAAGACTCATCATCCATCTTCATCTCTCTAGGATTCTATAAAGAAACTTAGCCAATCTTCATCTTCAAGAACCCTAGTGATTGCTTGTGAAGGCCAAACTCCATAGCTCTTGAATAATGGAAATGAGCTTCAATCCTTGTGAAAATAGAAGGGATGGAACGAAAATGGAGAGAGGAGAGATTCTTCGTCCGATGTCCAAATGAATTGATCTAGGTGTCTATGAAAAGCTCTTTTCATAAACTAGCTAATGGCATAGGTTTCACTTTCAAAACAAGTTACATCACACAAGCTTATCTCAAGCCTCCTTCCTCTACTCACGCATCTAATATGCCAATCTAAACACATATGGCACATTTTAGTTATTTGGTCCATTTGGACCAAAAATTTATTTTTACTACTTTGAGTGTCAGTGAAAATTGGAGCTGTGCTTGATCTTTCCCAACTAATTGGGAACATTGGATTAAGCTGCATCAACATGGAACTACCTCGTCCGCCATTGTTTCGCTCAATGGTATGAGTTTTGTGGAGGTTTGGTGGCTGAAAATGGAGGTTAGGGTGCTGGAAAATGAAGAACAAAAGAGAGAAAATGAAGAACACTATGAACAAGAGAGAGAGAATGTGGAAGATGAATGAGATGAGTGTTGGATCCCATTTGGGGTTTAAAATGGTGTGCTCCTTGGTGTTTTCCATCAGCTGAAGCTTAATTAAAAAAATTAAAATGTAAATGGGAGCCTTGTCACACTTGCAAGGTGGCAACTTCCTATTGGTTTGTAGACGATTTCAATGTGTGCCTAATTTTCCATGTGTCATCCACATCATTTCAGCTGATTTAATCCCTCAAAATAATCATAATTCACGTGCAAAACATCAGCCATTGACCTCAAGGCGTGTTGACCTCAATTGCCCAATTGATGCACAAGTCACATGCCACCTATGTCACATAAATCACATAATTCAATTAAATAGCATATGATATAATAAAATTTAATTCATGTCCAGAATTAAATTCATAATTAGAAGGGAGAATTTATCAAATTAACTAAGTTTTAGGCTGCACAAAATTATATAAAAAATTTCCACACAAAGGCAAACCAAAAACTAGGACAAACTAAGACACTTAAGAAAGTGTTGACTTTTTTATTTAATTACTCCCAAACTAAAATGAATTTTAAAAATATAATTTCACCACTCATCAACTGGATATAAAATGCACTTTGTCAATTTTTCTTGTACATTTTCTCAAAAGTTCATTTTTTGGATCAAAATGCCCCTAGTGCACTGAACCTAGAAACTTAGGCAAAATTACAAATCCAATGCAATGTGTGCACTTGAAGGTAATAAATCATTAATAAAAGGGTCCTAATTGACAAATAAAAGTGGGTAACAAATGTGTTTTATCACCCAGATCAGTATCGGTCAAACCCTGTAGTAACACATAGCCAGCTGGTCGTCGTTATGGTATCAGAGCAGAAGGACAAAATTATGTTAAGAGGAAGATAATATAAACTTTTTAATTCCTAAAGTTTATTGTTGTTTAACTCAGTTACCTGCTTGCCTGCTTTTCTTATCTGTTTACTTGTTTTTATTATCTGTGATTTTGAATAGTTTTGAATATTGTTGGCTGTTATTGGGTAAATAATTACTGTTATAGGTTTAAAATTAACAATAGTTGGAGAGAAGAATAACAAATAATAATGATAACAGTATTTTTGAATTGGTTAATGAGACAAAATATAGAAGACATAGAAACAAGAATAGGAATGATATTAACAATAAATGAATGTGTAGGAAGAGAAACAAGAATTTATTATATGACCCCAGTAGAAGAAAGAAATCAAAAAAGATTTTTAATCTTTCTTAGTATCTGTTTTACTTTAATAGAAGTATTAGAAGCTGTTTAAATGAATATCATAAAAACAATTGAACCAAAAATGTATGAAGTAGAGCAAGATAAAATCCCAGAAAGATCTTATATATATATTGTCAGGAGTTATTTCTGCTATAGTGGAGTAACACCTAATAAAGACTTGATATTGAGTTACTATTCCAAAATAGTGTTTGGCAGCTTCCTTGATGGATTCAGGAAGTTTAGATATTTCTGACATATCATTAGATAGAACTATACAAGGTTTTTACAAGATCAGGGTTAGTGTTTGGATAAACAATGATTTTGTTGAAGGAATAATGAGAAACATATTTAATATTACTGGTATTAGGAAGGGCAAAATGGTTGGTCTTATTAATGAGAAGTTTCAAATAATTATACTGGTCTAAGGTCTTAAAGGATGGTGAAGTTACTGGGCTTGGACTTCTTCTCCTAGAAGAGGTAGAAGTGGATGCACTATTTTGAGGTGTTCTTGTCACTATTTGGGCTTTAGATTTTTGGGCTTCTTTTACTATTTCAGTAAAAGGAATTATTGGACCAACTTTTTCTAGACTATGAGGCTGGAATAATGAATCAGGAGTTTGAGTATATGACTCAATTACTTGTTTTACTTGTCTTTCAGAGGATTGGGATAATGGACCCTTAGATTTCTCTAAGTCCTCCACTTTACATCTCAAAATATTCACCTCATCTCTAAGATGAGATACTGATTCAGATAATGATTGCATATTTGCATTTATTTGTCCAGCAAGAAGGGTCATATTCATCTCCAGAATATTTACTTTCATGATTACTTGGTCTAGTGGGGTCATTATTGGTCTTGTAGGTGAACCACCACCACCACTATTTGTCATCATATTTGTCTCCCTTCTATTTGGCTCCATCTGGACAGATAATCAGCAACAAGATTTTTTTTCCCTTAATATATTCAATCTCATAATCATAATAAGACATATCTGATTGCCATTTAATTAATATTTTATTACATAACTGAGTTGTCTTTATTCCTTTATTTAACCAATGCTTTACTTGAGTATTATCAGTTCTTATAATAAATCTAGTATTAACAATAAATAATTCAAACTTTTGTACAGCTTTTACTATTGCTAAAAATTCTTTCCAATTAGAATGATATTTAGTCTAAGAATCATCAAATTTTCCACTAGCATATCTAGTTATTATTTCTTCTTCTTTTTCATTGATGTGATATAAAGCTGCTCCCCTATAATTTTCACTAGCATCTGTATATATTATCCATATTACATCATTATTTATTGGAATAGTTAATTTAGGTAGATTTTGACATAAAGCTTTTATCTGATTTACTATTTTTTCTTTTTCTTTATCCCATATCCATATTGTTTTTTCTCTAGCTAATTTACTTACTTTTGCAGTTAGTTTTGATAAGTTTGGAATATAATTTCTAGCTTGATTTACTAATCCTAAAAATGATTGAAGTTCTTTTTTATTTTCAATTTCTGTAAATTCCAATATTTTCTTACTAATATGTTCTTGTAATTCTATTCCATTATTAGTTATGTATTGTCTTAAAAATCCTATTTTTTCTTTTCTTAATTCAACTTTTTTAGGTGATATATTTAATCCTTTTTCTTCTATCAAATCTATAAATTGTTCTAAATGTTTTTCATGTTCTTTTTTATTTTTTGAGAATATTAGAATATCATCTATATATATGACAACAAAATCTTTTATTGGGAATAATAATTTTGTTACATATTCCTGAAATATACTAGGACTATTATGGAAGCCCATATGTAATACATTCCATTCATACAATCCTTCAGATGTACTAAAAGTAATATATTTCTTACTTTCTTCTTTTAATTTTATTTGAAAAAATCCAGATTTACAATCAAATTTACTAAATATTTTTTTCCTCTTATTAAGTTAAATAATAAACTAGAAGGAATAAAATTATTACCAGGATCAAGAAATATCAATTTCTCAAAAAGCCCATATATTCATGTTTATATATATATATATAAACATGAATATATATATGTGTATGTATATGTATATGATATATGAAATTAAATATATATATATATATAATATACATATATTTTTGAAATATATGTGTATATATATGTGTGTGTATAATATAATATGTATATGTGATATATATATATATATATTATATTATATTACATATTATTGAAGTTTTAGAATCGTAAAATAGTAATAATGAATGTAATAAAAACAATAGAAGTGGATGTACTATTTCGAGGGGTTCAAACTTCTTGGATATCAGCTTTTTGAGCTTGTTTGACTATTTCTGTAAAAGGTACTATTGGAGACTGTCTAAAGGTTGGGCTATGAGGTTGATACTTTTGGACTTTTGATGTTTAGGTAGAAACATCATTTACTGACCTTTTTATTGGCTCTTCTTTTACTATTGATTCCATCCAGAGAAAAAAAATAGCAAAAAAAATGGCAACTGTTATATGAATATATCAATCATAAATGCAAATATTGTGATAAAAGAAGAATAGCAGAAGATGATTATGAAGACTCCATAATTGATTTAAATATCTTGAAGTAATCTGCCGACAATAGAAAAATATAAGTAGCCGACACATGAAGATAAGGAAGGAAAGTGGCCAACAAAGACAAAATTTACCTTAGACTTGAAATAAAGTTGTAATTATTATTACTTTACTAGAAAAATATAGTATGATGATTAAGTTAATCCCTCTTAATATGAGGTTACAATCCCTTAATTGATTTTGCCTCCATCGCACGTGAAAATGCCTTTTTTTTTTCTTCATTTTTTCTCTTTAATCAACCAGGGCAAATGGATCATTTTAGTCATATAATTATTGACCTTTAAAGATCATGAAACTTGAGAATAATTTTTTTATTTTGTGAGACTTGACTATATTTGAGTTTTTTTGTGGGACCTGGATTTCCCCCAAAAAATGTAAACAGTGTTTGCTATATCCATGATGCGGCCTCGACTTTCCCACGTGAGCAGCAAACTTGTAAGACGCCACGTCGGCATCAAAGATAAACTGATAAGAGCGACGAAGTAGAAAGTGAGAGCTCCAAGTCGAAAGGATCAACAATGGCGCCAACCTCTGTACCATTGAAATGGTTGCCAATGACAGCGTTTGTCAGGGGAAGAGTCAGGAGCGAACAGCAAATCAGTACCGTCGAACAAGTTCAGCTTCCGGAGAAGACCCGCAATTCCAGCGTCTTGGTCCTGGGAGGAACCGGTCGGGTGGGAGGATCCACCGCCATTGCTCTCTCTAGTTTCTGTCCCAATCTTCGAGTCATCGTCGCCGGCCGAAATAGGCCAGTGCCTTGCTCTGTGTGTTTACTTACTTTACCATAGCTCAAAAGAAAAAAGGAAGAAAGACGGGCTATATTACAGTTGCCTTTTGATGATTTCAATGTAACAGAGAAATCCTGAGCGATTGTGACAGAACATCATCCTTTAGTGGTGTTTGATGTTTGGTGGCTGGTGTTTGGTGTTCATGGAGTGTTATTTTACATTGTTAACTTCAGAGCATGTGTTGTTACTCGTTCTAATTTTGAAATTGGGTCTTATTTGAGAGGGATGAAAACTAGGGAAGAATGTACTTTGTTTAAAATTAGGTGCTTTTTAGTTGCTAATGATCAATGAATGGTTGTGGGACAGACAAAAAGGTGCAACTGTGGTGAAAAAACTTGGGGGTAATTCGAGTTTTGCTCAAGTTGACATCGACAACATGAAATCACTAGAAACTGCTCTGGAAGGTAAAAGAAAAAGAACTATAATTGTCACTTTAGTTCAGTTATTCACTGTATTAGTAACCATGTTTATGATACTTCATTTATTAACTGTATTAATTTAGTCAGATAAGCTATGCCTTTTCATTTTCTGTAATGCACTTCCATAGATTTCATTCACTTATTTTTATCCAATCAACATAAAATTTCTTTCTACAATCAAGAATAGATCTTTATGTCCTAAATTTCTAATCATTGGAAACATTCATAACCTCTCTGGGACAGCTAAAGCAACTTAAATCAATCTACCTTTTAGTTGTAAACTGTAGAGCGGAAACCTTCCCTTTCGTATATGCACAAAGAATGGCACATCAGACTATATACAATGGTAGGAGAAGTCTAATCCCACGAAAATAGGAGAAGAATCAGGAATAATATAACCCCATTAATCTAGCCGTGATTCTCTCCTATATTAGGAAATAATATAAAATAAAACTTTCCTATTTATATTGCAAATAACTCAGTCAACCACATCAACCAATCTCTTTGTTGGTCATGTAGTTAGTCAAATACAAGACCGTGTCATTAAATGTTCTATCTTAAAAATTCAGTACAAAACAGCCCAATTACTGTAAACAGAGGTATCAAAGCAAGAAAATACTCCAGCACTATGAGGGGGTAGGACCTCTCACAATAATACTGAATTTTGCAACCCTTCACTCGCTCTCTTATCCATTTTAATCACAATCAGCCTAACCAACTTCTGGAACCCAACTGTTGGCCCGGCCTCCATGTGTCCCTTCCCCCTTTCCTGCCAATTCATGTTGCCCTTCCTCAACATCCCCATTTTCTTTCCTGCACAACTGCTAATTGAGGACATCTATCACTAAATATGTGTGTTTGTATATATTTTAATGAGCTCATAACCTTTACAAGTCTATATGCCATGAAATATAGAAATTGATACTGGCACAGGACACAACATAGAGATTGAAATGTTGAACTATTCAAGCTTCAAAAATATAAAACACAACATGACATGGCATGCGCACATAGTGTCAATATGTTGGCATGTGTCGATGGAGCTTCACTGTTATATTCAAATACTAAGGATAAACTAGTACAAGACCTCCTCAATATAGTAAGGAAGAGGTAAAACAACACAAAATGACTATTAAATCCAACTATAGGCTAATAACAATGATGAACAGTAACTGAGAAAAGAGTAAATGCTTCCCAGACTTTTGAGGTTAGAGGCTCTCCCAAAACTACCAACATCTAGTCTGCCCCTCCCTAAGGTGCACAACCCTAGAAAACTAAGTCCTATCCCCTCCCTCTTGGCCAGCTGGGCCAATAGTAGGTTCTGGGCTCCCTTTTGGACTCTCACAGCCCAACTCACTCTACTGTAGTGGCCCCTTGGTTCTGTCCCTCTTCCTTTTATGTACTCGGCCCACTTGGTTAGGAGGTTGATCAGTCATTCAAATGGTAGTCTGATAAATATTCCATTTGTTGGTCTATTTCCAAAGAAAACAAACTTGCATTATCCTATATATATATATCTTGTTAGATTATAAGAGTGTTTGAATCTTGATCGGTGCTCACAGCCCATTTCACCCCACCCTTACCACCTGAGCATTATTCTATATTCTAAGCACCTTCAACTTTTATCTTCCTAAAGGATCTACTAAATACAAGATGTTAAACTATAATATTCAAATGATTATTTTCAACAACAAAATTAAGAAAGATTTTTAATTATCTCTTCAAGAGGAATCTCTTGTTCAATATCTTTTTGGAGGGCCAGCTTTGGCCAAACTATGTCTAAACTGATTTATTGGGGCATCCCTACTTTTCTAGAATATATCACAGTAATATTATGGTTCTACCTGCTTGAAAGTCTATGAATGTGTTTAGCCTCTATATAATTATTGTAGAAATTCATTGGATTATTATAAAAGTTCATAGCCATCAGGTTGGGTGGCTAAGAATATATCCTGCTTTTGTCTTGTAGGATTTGAAATTCATGCTATGAGATTGCCGTTGCAGATGTGGATGTTGTAGTTCATGCTGCTGGACCATTCCAACAGACTAAAAAATGTAGTGTACTTGAGGCAGCCATAAAGACTAAGGTGAGAAAAAGGTAACCTACATGTTCAACAATTATAAAAAATATCGACATATGTAATAAATTTGTAGCAATTTATAAAAAGTGCAACTGTAACGCATGGGAAAACATATATATATATATATATTTGTGTCTAAATACTTATTGCTTTTTATCCATTACAATTTCTGCCCACATATTCACATCTCTTTCCTTTACGTATGCTTACCTACCTTCTCTGTTTCTTTTCCTTTTGGCACATATATTGGTACAGACAGCATACGTTGATGTTTGTGATGACACAAGCTATGCATTTCGTGCAAAATCCTTACAGAGTAAGGCAGTAGCTGCAAATGTTCCAGCTATAACGACTGGAGGAATATACCCTGGAGTGAGCAATGGTGCTTACTTGTGAGCATAATTTAATGTGTTGAGTATTTGGGAAATTCACTTGTTCAACATAATCTAATGTTAAACTTCAATAAGCAAATTTATTATGCTGATCATGCCATTCTTGATGTTAAGATTAAACTGAAAAATGAGTAATTACTATGAAATTTAGATGTACTTTTTAGGCTCTCCATTCAATTACTGTACAAACTTATGCTGTGAGATAAACCATAATTTTGTTAATTTGGACAAGTGAATCATGTTTCATATAATACTTGGTGGATTCAATGCTGTGGATTTTTGGTGGCCATTAACAGCTGAAAGAAATTGGTGCTGATGTGTGCTATACTTTTGTAGTGCTGCTGATCTTTATTTGGGTTAGGATGATCCAAGACAAAGCTTGAATATTTTGCTCGGCTCTTGCCTTCACTGCTTTTAGTTGGTAGCATATGTTACGATTTAGAATAGAATACCTAAAGGTTAATTATGGTGAGCTCAGATTCACAGTCAGATGATGGTAGATTTGCATCAAAGTCATGTCATATCATGCTTTACGTGAGGAGTTAAAATCTTTCATCTGCTGTATTTCACAACCTAGTAACACTTGCTATGTTTTTGTGGTAGTCATGGCGGCAGAGCTTGTTCATGCTGCAGAAAGTGAAACCAAAGATAAGCCAGAGAGGCTAAGGTAGTAGTTGCTCTCATAACAGTTTTAAGTCTACATGTTTTCCCTTGTTGCGAGCATATTTTATCTGAGCAGTTGATGACTCTCTTCTTTCCCCTCTTATGGGTTAAAAACATCTATTGAAGTATTTGATGACATTGCTGTTGCGTAGATGTTGAAACATTAAATGGTAAATACAAATTGTTTGCCTTGTTTGGTTTGCTGCCAACTCCACAATTTGTTATGGAACAGATTCTGAGAATCCACCAAGGTGCATGCACGTTTGGTTGACAACCGTCTAGTTTTATTCCATTCTACAGTGATTATTCTCAGTAGTGAATTTAATTCATCCCAAATTTCAATGGAAGGAGGGGTTAATGGATGGAATGAGCTGTTAATATACATTATTACCTTGTAGATTCACTGTTAAATATTTGCTTCATTTTGAAGATTCAAAATAACAACTTAGTAGTCTAAAAACACTAAAAAAAAAAAAGATTGTATTTTTAAACATGTTCAACGAAATAAATAAATGTTTTTATTCTAAGATTATTATGGTAAATATGCTTCCTTTTCTTTTCTATTTTTGTATTAAAACTCATTCACTTTCTATCATGATTCTCATTCACATTTTTATTCTCATAAATATTATTATGTAAACCATGTAAATCATCTAAAGGGTATTATAGTTTCTTGACCAATATTTCTTTCCATTCTTTTACTATTTTCATTAAACTAAACTCAAATTTGGAACAGAATATCCATTTTCTTCTATGACATTCCAAACATAATTATTGATTTCAGCAAAATTCATTACATTCCTTCTCATTCCCATTCCCATATTAATGATTCCACAAAGCAAATGGGGCCCACAATTGACAACGTTTTGCTCTGCAATATTAAGAGATTTATTTGATAGTATCATTCTCTGCCTTGAAAAAAAAAAAAAAAACAGCAATGATGCTTGACCTTTGAAAAATCATCAAGACTAAGCGCTCGTTTGTTTAAGATTAAAAAAAAGTGATTTTTAGGTAGTTTAAGGATTTTATAAAAAAGAAATTTATTTTGTATAGATTTTATAAAAAGTAGACATTATTTTATGTTTGGTTACAATAATAAAAAACTGATTATTACTTACTCTTTCCGTTAAAAAATGTAAGGCATTTTTTGAGAAATTGGATGTTCAAAAATGTAAGGCATTTTTAGTCTTTCGAGGTGTAGTCATTGCCTTTTTTCCAAAAGTGTTGCTATTGATGAATGACTTTATATTTGTTATAGGGTGTTTAATAGGGGTAAATATGAAAAGATAGTGTTAGTTTAAAAGTAGTAACTACTTTATTGGGGGTGAGATTCGGTTAAAAATGTCTTACATTTTTAAACAGAGGGAGAAGTTATTTTTAAATTTTATAATATCTTTCTTGATTTTTGTTTTATAAAAATGATTTATTGTTATATATTTTAAAATTTTATGATATCTTTGAGTATTCTGCCTCTTTAAAACACTCTTTCTCATCTACATCATTAAATTATTTTTAGAGGTAGTTTCTTAAAATAATTAGAAATTCACTTTTTTTTGGATTCTAATTATTTTTAAAAGTTTAAACAAACATTATAAAAACTCACAAAATAGATTTTTTTTCAAAAAATAAGAAATTTTTTTATGAAATAAGCTAAAACAAGTGGGCCCCAAGTAACCTTTGTAAATTGGAGACTCGTTGTTGATTTTATTAGCATTTCCAAGCAACTGATAAGATTGTACCACTTATGACAGAACAATTTAAAGTATATATAGTTATCTTAGGTTCATAAAAATGCATAATATTATCATAGTCTCATCATACATTAATGACACTAATCATAAATTTGAATAAGTTACTTGGAAGATGAAACAGTAAATATAAATTCTTTGTTGATAATATTGTGCTCTGTAATGCTTGGAGAGTTACTAGTAAAAGTAGCTATTGCATCTGGTATTTTTGATTGTTTATTTAAAAGTCAGTGTTGGCACTTGGAACTTGAAAACTTATGAACACTATGTAATGTCAGAAACTTGGAGCTTAATCTTTGCTTTTACTTACAGTTTTAAAAAACTCGTATGATCATATCACTAAGATAACAAAATTTTAAAAAAGTACTGTAGAGAGTACTGTCAATAAGAACAATATTTTCAAAATCTCATAATATATTAATGGCACTAATCATATATTACAAAAAGTCATAAATTTTGTGCCTTAAAACAAATAATAAGTCTCTTATTGACAATATGTAGGATCAGAAAGGCTTGTAAACTTGGAGAACTTGTATGACTATAGTAGAGGAGTTTGATGTTATCTTAGATTAGGATTGAGGACCTATTTCTTTGCGTAACATCATGTTGTTTGTCTTAAGATGAAGATTTTATCTTGACTCTCATGTTTATCTTATCTTAACAAATATGCAAGGACTCTTGCCTTATTTCATGAAACCTAAGCACAGTCATAATAATGACAATCATCGTCATCAGTGTCGTCATCTTTCAATAATACTTTTAGGTTATAAAGACTTAAGATGAAGTCATAATCATGGTTTCTTCTCATTTTAAAATCTGATGGCAGTCTTAACTAATGATACTCGTGTTTTCTGTAGATATTTCAACAGTCACATTAATTACCTTGAATTTTTATGCCTGACGTCTCTAGGCTTTCTGTTGTTCCCATTTGAATAAATTAGTGTTCATCAAGGACTTCCACATGATTAATCATTTCCTTTTATTTGTCAGTGAAAAAAGAAGAGAAAGAAAATGGGTCGGAAGTAGGATTTCAATGTTGACCCTGTTAGGTTCACACTGCATGCCTATCTTTTTAAAAATAAAATCAACTCTACTACCATGGAAGGCTTTGTGAAGATATTTGCAAGTGGTTCATTGGTTCTTAGTGCAAAGAAAAGAGACCTTATTGGACCTTTGCACTAACAAAGTGGTGGTTAGTCAAATGTGAAAAAAAAAAAAAAAAAGCTGATTTTATTGGACCTTTATTTTTCACATTTGACTATTGCACCTTATTGGACCTTTGTTTTTCAATGATGAGGTCAGCAATACCTAAAGGAAATTCGTGGGAAAATTGCTGCAATTCAGCTTAGAAAGTGGCTGGCAAACTGCAGTGAAAAGTCACCAGATAACTGCTGGGGATGGCTGATAAGAACTCAGACTAACAAGAGAAAATAAGAGAAATAATTCTATCAAGATGATATAGAATAATAATCTCGTTTTATATTTTTCTCAATAGCCACGCCTAAGGAAAATTTCAAAGGGTTTAAGAGTCTATTTTATTGATAATGATATGCTAGCTTCTAAGTTGCTAGTCATATTTATAGAGTCAAATACAAATGAAATCTAGATAATTTGATAGTAAAAACTGAATAAGAATCTTAATCTAAATGAAATCTGAACTAAATATCTAAACAAAATCTCCTAAAACTTAATCTAAATAATATTCAAATATTAAATAACAATGGAATAAAATCAAATTTAAATCAAATGATATTTAATTTATCTTTGTTGCTTCTTTCTCAAATAAGTCTTCAATGGAATCTTATCTAGGAGCTTATCATTGTCCCCCCTTTGAAAACTCAACTTGCCCTCAAGTTGGAAAGAGGGAAATTGTGCACACAATTGGTCGTAGTCCTCCCAATTGGATTCTTCCATAGGTCGTCTATGCCATTGCACCAATAGCTCTAATGAATTATGGCGAGTCTAGCGATGATCTAAAACTTAGTCTGGTTCTACTTGCAACTCAAAATCAGTAGATAGTGGTAAAGAAGAAGGAATACTGGGTGGATTAGCCTCATGAGTAGGCCGTAATAGAGACACATGGAAAATGGGATGAATGCGAGCATCCGAGGGAAGTTCTAATTCATAAACTACCTTCCCAATCTTCCTAAGTATCTTGTAGGGGCCAAAGAAATGAGGTGACAATTTTTCAAACTTCCTCTTGGTGAGTGATTGTTGGCAAAAAGGTTGGACTCGTAAATATACAACATCACTCTCGTTATACTCGACTTCTCTCCTATACTTGTCTGCATATGCCTTCATCCGGTCTTGAGCTTTACGTAGATCATCTTTTAGCAGTTTCAGCATGGCATCTTTGGCCACTAATTGATCTTCCAAATCAGCTATAGGAGTTTCTCCTTTCACATAAGGAAGCAATGTAGGAGGATCTCTGTCATATACTAACTTGAATGAAGAGGAGTTGGTTGATGTATGGTAACTTGTGTTGTATGAGTATTCAGTCCAGCAAAGAAATTTGTGCCATATCTAAGGTTGTTAATGTGCAAAACAGCGTAGATAGGCTCAAGACCATGGTTGACGACCTCTATTTGACATTCGTTTGGGAATGATAAGCAGTACTCATTTTTATCTTGGTCTGGCTTAATTGAAATAATTCTTGCCAAAAGGAACTCATGAAGACAGGGTCCCTATTTGAGACAATTGAGCGAGGCACCCCATGTAAGTGGATGATTTCTTCACAAAGGATGGCTGCGATCTTCTTTGCAGTGTAAGGATGCGTTAAAGCAATAAAGTGGGCATACTTGCTCAAACGATCCACTACTACCAATATAACCTCAAAATTGCCTGACTTTAGAAGGTCGGTGATGAGGTCTAGTGAGATGCCCTCCCAAATTTGAGAGGGCACAGGTAAGGGTTGAAGAAGATCAGTTGGCGCCAATGTTTGATACTTATTCTATTGACATGTGACACAATGCCACACATACGCTTTCACATTTGTCTTCATGGAAGGCCGATAAAAGTGCTTTGCGAAACGCTTAAATATTTTAAGAAAACCACCATGCCCACCAACAACTGATTAGTGAGCTTTTGTTTGTAGTTTTAGTCTCAGTTGTCATGTATAAGGAATGGCTATTCGGTTGTCATAAAAAAGGTTTTGTCTAGCCAGGTGGAATCTTGGCCGAGAGGATGGATCTCTTTACAGATCCAACGTAATCTGATTGGTGAAGGGGTCTAATGCAAGCTTAGAGGAGAGATCATG